TTATAGACTTAACATGGACCATTGATGCTTGGCTTAGTATCTTCAAAGTAGGTTAGAATGACAGCTCTTGGAATTCTTAGCCACCAATACCCACAAACCATAGATGAACACATCTGGAGGCCATCATATTGAAGAAACATGCAGAAGAGACTCTTTAATTTGTGGGCTGCTTTGGAGAAGGTAGCAGTACTCAGCTGATCTGGAGTAATATCAGAAGCTGCATGGAGGTGTCCCTAGACTTACCAAGGAATAAGATATAGTGAGATACATGCAGGTAGTCCTCGGTTTCACAACTACCTGTTCAGTGAGGGATCCTTGGTGCTCTCTGAGCTTGGCTGTTTTCTTGTAGATGTTTAGGTAACATCATCAGTGCTAGTAGGAAATGAGGTTTCTGTTGGAAGATAGGACTGAGCTGAATGAGTGGTAGTTACAATCAGTCCTCAAAGTTCCAGCTATCTCAGCACTCCTTGGTACATGATCACTGTCTGGGCACTTGGCAACCAGCTGCCACTTACACCAGTTGCAGTGTCCCATGATCACATGATCTCCATTTGCAATCTTTCCTGCCAACTTCCTACAAGCAAAATCAATTGGGAAACTGGCATAGGTCACAGGTTGCTCTGGTGTCTTCTACCACCAGCAACTACACCGACATCCACCCCTTGCGAACTTTTGCTCACCCTGTAGCAGCCACCCTAAGCCCTGCCATGTTTGCACTGCATCTGTTCCTTGCATGCCCTCCTGCACCTTGCAGCAACCACTTACCCATTGGCTTGTGAGCTGCTTGGGGCTTTGAACTTCCTGCTGTCTTCCCCACTGACTTTGGTTGTTGGAAGCTGGCAGAAGTTGCAAGGAGGCTAATAACTTACAAACTGTCATGACCCCATTGGAGCCTGGTTCAGAGAAGGATGAATTGGAACCATGACCATCGACAGGGATGGCATGTCTCCCTTGACATGTTTGAAGAGGCCAGGGGCTGAGGATGATGCTACCCCAGGCCCCTCAGGCATTGGGGGAGGTGGTCAACCAGAAGGAAAGTTGCCTGTCAGCAGCCAATCCTCCACTGTGTCTGTGGAGGAAGGCAGCTCTCCGTCTGGTCAACCACCTCCCCCAATGCCTGAGGGGCCTGGGACAGCATCGTCCTCAGCCCTGGAGACATACTGTCTTTGTCAGATTGTCCCAGTTCCAACTCCTCCTCTTCCTTCTCATAACCGGGCCCCGATGGGGCCATGACACAAGCCTTGTTTAACAGTGGCAATGGAGACTGCTGGGATTGCCATTGCTAAGTGATGCTGTCATATGACATTGTGCTTTATGACTGCATTGTTTAGTGATGGAAATTCTGGTCCCAATTACCATTGTTAATCAAGGATTGCCTGTAGGTTTACACACACAATTATTTCTTTATAAATTTGTGCTGAAAAATAGAACAGGAAGCGAGGGATAGGTTAAATTTTAATCAAAGCATGTGATTCAGTGGAGAAGGAGGAAGACACATCACTGGTGGAGTTTAAAATTGGCAAGAACTATTTTTTCATAGGGCAAGATAGCTCTCTATTAGCACTTGGCCGCCATCTAATGGCCAACAAAGTCCTATCATTCTGAAAAAGTTTGTGCTGAAATGAAACTGAAGGCAAGATGCAAAGTCACAGCCAGAGAAGGGTAACTAGAATCTGATGGACGCTCCCAGCCTTTCTATTAGTCCAATGCAGCAAACATGATCTTGCATCCTAAGAATGCTTTAATTCTAAAAGATCTCTACAAGGATACTATTTCTGCAGTGAACTGCAATTTTATATTTTAAAAATTCAAATTCAAACATTTTATATATCGCTTTCCAAATAAATCTTCAAAAGATATCACTCCTTTTGCATATATGAACTAATGCAGGATATTTGCAGAAAAATTTAAGGGGTACATGGGAAAATATTAATACTGGATTCTTTTTAACAAAAAGATTCCTGTGATGATCATCTATGATCCTGCTCACTGTAGGAAATGAATACAGGTAGTTCTTGGATTACAACAATTGGAATTTCTATCACTAAGTGATGCAGTCATCATGCATGACATCATGTAACCATATCACTTAGCAACAGAAATCTCAGCACTCCCAAATGACACTGTTACCCCAGGACCACATGGTTAAACAGGTAGAGGCAGGAGTCCCAGGAAGCAGTTCAGTGGGTGTGTAAATGCTACAGAGGGGTGATATGGGCACTACAGAGTACAGATAGACAAAAAAGCAGAGGGAGTGACTTATGACTTCCTGCCAGCTTCCCCATTGACTTTGCTTGAGAGAAGCAAACACTGAACATTGGAAATCACAATCGCATGATTGTGGCTGGCTGACACTGTAATTACAAGCTGGACACCAAGTGCCCATAATCCAGACCTGTGACTGCAGTGATGTTACAACAGCCTGAATTCTAAGGACCAGCATTACTGTATCTCTGAACGGTCATTAAACAGAATAACAATAACATAATAACAGAAAACAAGTGCGTGTAACCTGAGGACTACGTGTATATATCAGAACAAAAGACCACACTGGAAAAAACATTCCTTTGTCAGTGATTCTACCAATCTCTCTCATTACTTTTTACCAAACCCTTTAGCTGGAGAGTTTAGGAACAGAACTTAGAAATAAATGTTTGTATGCAAAGTATATATTCTATCATTAGGTTGTATATCCAAAGACAGATAATGCAATCCTCTGCTGGACTGATTAGTCAAATTTATACACTGCCAACTCTTCATAGATCCATGGCGACTTACATTTCTATGTCAGTCTTCATCCAAACAAACCCTTAATTCTGCAGAAGGTAAAAATAATAAACAAAACAACAACAATAATAATAATAATGTTGGAAGAGATCTTGCAGGTCTTCTAGTCCAACCCTCCCTCAGGCAGGAAACCCTATACCATTTCAGAAAAATGATTGTCCATTCTTTTCTCAAAAACTTCTAGTGATGGAGTATTCCCAACTTCTGGAGGCAGGTTATTCCACTGATTGTTCTGTCAGGAAATTTCTCCTTAGTTCTAGGTTGCTTCTCTCTTTGGTTAGTTTCCATCCGTTGCTTCTTGTCCTGCCTTCAGGTGCTTTGGAGAATAGCTTGACTCCCTCTTCTTTGTGGCAACTCCTGGGATATTGGAACACTGCTATCATGTCACCCTAGTCCTTCTCTTCATTAAACTAGACATACTCAATTCCAGCAACTGTTCTTTATATATGTTTTAGACTCCAATCCCCTAATCATCTTTGTCGCTCTTCTCTGTACTCTTTTTAGAGTCTCAACATCTTTTTTATATCGTGGTGACCAAAACTGGATGCAGTATTCCAAGTGTGGTCTTACCAAGGCGTCATAAAGTGGTATTAACATTTCATGTGGTCTTGATTCTATCCCTGTTAATGCAGCCTAGTACTGTGTTGGCTTTTTTGGCAGCTGCAGCACACTCCTGGCTCATATTTAAGTGATTGTTCACTAGGACTCCGAGATCCTTCTCAGTTATTACTATTGAACAAAGTACCACATATACTGTACCTGTGTATTTATTTCTTGCATAAATGAAGAATCTTACTTTTTTCATCACTGAATTTTATTTTGTTAGATAGTGCCCAATGTTCAAGTCTGTCAAGATCCTTCTGTATCTTAAGCCTATCTTCTCGAGTGTTGGCTATTCCTGCTAGCTTGGTGTCATCTGAAAATTTGATGAATTCCCCATCTATTCCCTCATCCAAATCATTGAAGAAGATGTTGAAGAGCACTGGGTTCAGAATAGAGTCCTGGGGCACCCCACTACACACATGATGCAGTTCCATTTAGGACCACACGCTGAATATAGCGATCAGCCAGCTACAAATCCATGTGGTGGTGATGCTGTCTAACCCACATTTTTCTATCTTATCAAGTAGTAGCTTGTGGTCTACTTTATCAAATGCCTTACTGAAGTCCAAGTGCTTGGGAAACCAGTCATACAATGATCAAGTGCAAGTGTTATAGAAAAATAACATGAGAATCTGCAATACATAATTACTGAGTTTCTTTCCTTAATTTTTAATAATGAGTGAATAATTTAAAACATAGAATTATTACCAGAATCAATTGGTGTATGCACTAATGCTTTAGCAAGCAAGACACCTTCAGTTAATATCATAGCCCACTCTATAGTTATCACCGTAACCAATAAGCATAACAGCATTAATTGACTATCAATTAAATTGTATTGTACCAGAAAGAAAATGGAATACCCACTCTCTAGTATACATGTCTATAGCAGATGCAAGGAGGGCAAGTAATGAAACATATTATGATATGAACCATATGATTCATATACGTTCTTTGGTGGCCTGATTTCCTTTTACCCCTAACTCTTCCAAGCATAATTGCTTTCTCCAGTGAATTCCCCTGCATGACATGGCCAAAAAAAAGTGAGACACACTTTTCTGATTTTGAGAGAATGCTAGCCAGTGTAATCAACCCACTTTTACTTCTATGTAAGAAATAGGGATAGAATGTAAACTAGTACTTTTAATCTCAACAATTTAAAGCAACTTGACTGGGGAATTCTGGAACTTGAAGTTCTCACAAGTTAAGTTGTTGAGACTGAGAAACACTGATGTAGACATAAGAGTGCTCATATTTAGCAAATACTTTTGACCCACAGGTAACAAGGTAAACTTTACCAGAAATAAAAGGTACCTGCTAACATTAGTAGAAATGTTTGGAATTATATACATTTGTTGATATTGCTTTGCTTTGTAGTATTATTGTAGCTTCCTGGCTATTTATCAGTAAAGTAGGAACATCTGGCTAAGCTGCTGCAATAAAACACTGAAACTGAAAATTTGCTTTGCTTTGCTGTGTTAATAAAAATGAGAAGATTCACAAAAGGCATCTTGAGTGCTGTGCCTTGGATCAACCTCCCACGTGCTCATAATAAAGTCACTTTATTAAAATTACATTTCTGTGTAACAATTTCTAGCCGACAAAGGAAATAGTGCAACTGAACAGAACTTTTATTTTACAGTACTTGAATTATTTAATCTAATTTCGTCATGACTAGTAACGCTAACTGATCAATGACACACTATGACCTTTCTTTAAACTGAAGAACATTAAACAGGATGTTAATTTAAAACAAATTTAATTGAAATTAAATATGATTTACAATAAATTTTCTTTTATGAGTACTGCAACTTCCCTTTGTTGTCCTCCCAACCTGATGCATCATGGAAAGCTCTAGAGGTGACATGCCAGCATTATATGGATATTATTAAAATATCCGGGACTATCCCATCTTCAAAAACAGTGAACTGAGCAAAGCATGTACCACAACCCGAGTGTTTTTTTTTTGTTGACAGAGAATAGCATTCCATGGTCTTTTAAGTTCCTGCAACCAGTCTGAAACTAAAAGTTCCTACATGGGAATCTGTGCCTCCTTCCATTCTTTCAATGGCTTTGATTGTATTTCCCGGCAATATTTTATGTACAAAATATTTTATAAATTTTATGTACAAAAATATGTACAAAGATCTAGCTGTATCATGTGCTTTTTCCACATGCATTCCTCATGCCATACATTGGGATATTCTGGAAAACAGCTGACCCTCCAACTAGGAAGGTAACATACTGTACAAAAGGGCGTCTGCCATGTTGTATTTCAGAAGAACAAAAAACTCTTCGAGAAGTATTCATACAATAGGACTAAATGCACGAATGCACAGGCTACAAACCTGCAGGTCAAAGAGAACAGAAAAAGAAAGAACTATTCCACAAGTATGGTATCAATGCTCTCTTGAGAGAGGTCAGGATCCAATGCATTTTGTGAATCCACGTGACCTTGTGAGAGAGTGCCACTTTTCACCATACTTGGGATCCAATTGTCACCATATGGCTGAAACTTGATGGCTGCCGTATTGCCAACCCGCTGGTATCGGCCAAATTTGAAGTGTTTGCCTTTGTGCGTATACATGTGTTCAAGAAGCTGGTTTTTTCGGAGAAATTTGTGACCACAAACAGTGCAGCTGATCTTTCTTTTCCGTGAAAAGGAAAAGTTGCAGTTTAATTCCACAGGTTCTGTGTCCTTGGACACCAGTGAGAGCTGGCCAATTGGCAGTGCCTCTAGGTTGGGGTGGCTGGGATATTCTGAATAGTGCTCATTCTCTTTCTGAAGGAAGGAACTGAGTCGGTGACTTTCAGTAGCTTCACAGTTTTCACTGAGAGGCTGCAGCTGGCTAAGGTTATTGCTTTCCAGGATGGAGGTTGGAACCCTAAAGGGCAATGATCCTGACACATGAGTAAACAGGTGTTCACACAAATTGTTCCGGGATTCAAAATGCTCCCCACAGTACTGGCATAAATGAACTTTGAGGTTTTCTTTGGAAATAGATGGACCCCTGAGATTTGGGGAGGATGATGTGTGACTCTGAGACACAACTGGCTCTGGGTCAGTCTTCTCCTCTTTTATAGTCACAGGTGGATTTGCAGCCTCCTCTGGTGGTTTCACAGCTGACTTAGTAGAAGGATGGGAAACCTGCTGGTCCAAAGACCCATCATCCAGCCCAATTGCCAGAGATAGCTGGAGCTGAGGATGATCTCCCTGACTAGTGGCTCTACTACCAATATTGGTTAAGTTTTCCTTTGCTTGGAGATTCTCCTTCACAGCCTTATGTGTGGTTGAGATCTGAATCCCATAAAGGTTTGAAGACTGCACAACCTCCGGAGAAAGCAACTGGTTCATTTCAATTGCCATACGGGAAAGATAGTCAGCATGTAGGAAACGGATGCCTTCCTCTAGCCGCGTATGATTGACCATCTGTTTAGGTCCTTTGCCAGTGTACATTATATGAAGCAAGTAGCTGAATATGTCAGGTTGGATATCAGTGGGCTGAATCTTTATGCATTCACTGCTTGAAACAAAAGTGAGAGTTAAGTAAGGACATCATGGTTTAACCTCTGTTTATTGAAGGACAAAGACAAACATATTCAGTATGTCTCAAAGGAGCCTTAAGAACCAATATGTTAATTAAGATATACAATTTTAGAGATTCGGGGGCCCTTCTATAAATGCATAAAATGGAATTCCAAAGTGACATATAGGAATATAGGTGCACAAAATGTAAAAAATATTAGGAAAAGTACCAATTGTGAAAATATATTAAAATGTGACTACATATCTAAGAACAAAAGCTGGCAGATACTCTAGGCTTATATATATACAAATGGTTGTTATACTTTCCTGCTGGCTTGAGATTGCAAGAATAGTGTCATCTGGAGACTGTGGCCACCATCCTGACTTCTCTCTGGTGACACCTGTGAGGGATGTGTGTTGTTCTGAAAACTGCTCCCCATTTCCGCATTGCTCTTAACAGCTCTCAGGAATTAAGCTAATGAGGTGTTTCCCCCCACTCAGGACTGGCGACTTGCTGCTGTTGGGAGTGAGAGCAGTGCTGTCTTCTGAACATAGCAGGGGTGAGAAAGGAGAGCTCAGGAACTTTTTCTTCTTGTCTCAAAAGCCAGACACCCAAACTCATAAAATTTAGCATCCAGAAAGGATTATTTGTAATTGTGAATAAGAAAGAAAAGAGTGGGAGGGGAACTCACACCTAGTGCACTGATGGAGAGGAAGAAGCTTGTATTTCTTAAAAGGTACAACTCCCTGTCCAACTTCTCCCAAAATCTCCTTGTCCCTTTTGCTGAGTTTCCTCCCATATTAGATCAAAGATAACATCCCTATTTTCAGCTAAAGGAAGAGGAGGGGAAAGTTCACAATAGTCTCTCCAATAGGAACACTGAGCTTGTGGAAGATGATGCTTCTGTTCTCACTGCAACCAAAACATAAATGGCCACAGAATCACACAGCCCTATGATCTGGATGGAAGAAGAAGCATCCAGCAGTGGGACTTTCCAGTAACTCTTCTGCTATGAAACAGAATTTTCTCATAGTAGGTCTGTTTTCTGATGGATAAATATATCCTTTAAGCCAATATTTTTCAAGCTTAGCAATTTTAAGATGTGTGGACTTCAGTACTCAAAATGTTCCCAGTCACACATCTCAAAGTTGCCAAGTTTGAAAAATGCTCCTTTAAACATATATAATAATCATAATGAAGATCATCTCATCCATCACTCAAATGATCCCTTTTATCTGAGCTCCTGATTTACTATCTTTATTTTGCAGGCCATTTGGAGGCTAAAGAGATACATTATTCAAAGTCATGCCCAACAGAAATGTCCATGATGTACAGTAGAGGCCAGCAAATAAAATGTTAAAGGTCACGTGAGAACTGCAATTTCTGAAGCTCACATCAAAAAATCAACATGAGTCTTATATACTCTTCAAGAAAGGGTGCCGACTTACCTTGTCTGATGAATGAATATCATCTTAAAATAGTTGGAAAAAGCAGCCAGGACAGCTCGATGAGCTTTAAAGTAGACATCTCCAATTGCAACTGTGCAGTCACAAAGAAAGCCAAATTCTCGCTGCATGTTGAGTTGTTGCAGGAGGATCAGGCTGTGGCTTGCTGTATCCATTGTGCTTCTAGGAGACAAAAGAAGTTCTCTCAAGGAATAGGCTAACTCCAGTGCAGTCAACTGCAGGAAGGCCTGCGATCTGCTGCAAAACACTTTACCTCAGGTATGCCTTGTAAGAAAAGAGAATCTCAGAACTTAAAGAGTTAATGTCAGTTAATGAAGACAGCTGTCTTCTAAGCAATATAATTATTTTCAACTATGTCTTTTGAGGGACACAGTTTCTTCTTGTTCTGTTTTATCTCTGTAATGGTGTGTGGGAATGACCTAGATCCTAGAGAGAAGGCGGAAGAGCCACTGTAATTACTGGTAAAACTGATGTCAGCCTTGTGAGGTAGTGCAGACGAGAAGCATGCCCAGATAAACTAATTCTGCTTTACTTAAACTTACGGTACATTAATAGAATCTTGCAAGCCTGAACGTATTCCTCCCCCACCCCCATCATCTGTACAATCAAGAAACTAGGGAAGGGCTACATCCACATTCCTGCTGAGAACTAAACTCCCTCTAATCTGATTGTCCCCCTGGCTGTGGCTCTTTCCCTTGTCTCCCAAGGTCATTCTCACATACCATTAAAATATCTCAAGAATCTTTACCAAGTTAAGAGTTTCGGTGTGAAAGAGCTAATATATATACATTGTAACCAGTATAGTTTTGCTGTTATTTTAAATTCACTGGATCTCCATGTATTCTAAAGAACCTTTTGTGGTTCAACATTCAATTGAAAGTGATTTGAGTGTAGCTATTTTCTAGGGCTGTGAGTGAATGACTATAAGCTGAACCCAGGAGCTCTCATGCAACAGTTGCAATAACATATGAAATGACAAAGATATGATTGACCATGTGTAACGACTACTAACCTACGGAAGGAACAATTAGCACTTTGGCTGTACTTGTGCAAAGGGTCTAATGATTATGACCTTCAATTACTATTCAAGCTAGAGCTGACTGCAAATGGTCTTCAGAGCTTCAGATGGAACATCTCTATATTTGGAAGACCTGCAGATTTATAGTCATTCATAGCCTGTCCTTCTAATTGTCTAGGGAACCAGGTTAAGACTTTCACCATAACACTAGTCTAGTTTAACAAGTTGACAGATCTGTAGCATAGTGGTTAACTGGGCCTGGAGAGATCCACATCCAAGCCTATCACAATGGAAATTCATTGGTGACTGTGAGACATACATTTTCTTACAGTCCAATATATCCTCACAGGAAAAAAATTGATGGATGATTTGATAAACACAAATCTATCAAACAAATAAATATGCAGGAACCTTAAAACCAGAGCCCAGAATTATAATGTCTACAAACTCAATGCTATGTATTGCAGGGCATTGTTTTAAATATATTGTTGTGTTAGTTGTTTTGATGTTAATATTTGTTTACTGGATTCTAATTTAGTTGGATTGCCTTGTAATTATTATGGGGCCTTTTTTGTACTGTGTTTTGGTAAAGACATATATTAAATGTATTAAATTCCTAGTATATTTCATGGAGTAAATCCCAACAAATATGATGGTATTTCTGAATAAGAATAAGCAGGATGTCACTCTTAAATGATTTGACCTAGAGTGTAAGAAACAGCCTGGAGGGAACTGATGAAAATAAAATCTACTCCTCTTGTTACCACCTTAACATTTGGGAGACTGAACCTAAAATATGAGGTCAGCATTTAATTTTCAGCTTTCAGAAGCTATGTTGATGTGACACATTTACTTATGACCAGCCCAACCATGGTTAAGTCACACAATTTTCTGAAGTTGCAAATGAGTTTACATAATATTTTTGCATCCTCTGAATCCAGCCAAGTATCTTTGGCAGCATAAATGTAACTTGCTTCTGAGTTACAGTAAAAAAAAAAAATATATATATATAAAGATTTTTTCTTTTTTTCCTTCTCTCCCTTTTCCCTCTACTTTTTGCTTTTTTGTATTTTTCAGTTTGTATTACTTTTTTACTTTGCATTTTTAAACATCAATACAAATTATTATTTAAAAAATAAAAATAAATTAGTGACAAAAATCTCTTCACAAAACTAAATATGAATTATGAACTAAAAGAGAAGCAACAGTGCAACAATAAATCAGTTCTTCATCAAATTCTGGGAGATAGATTCTTAAAAGATAAAAAAAATCTGTCCCATGTATAGTACTTAAACAAAACAAAAATCCACAAAAAGTACTCTCACTATTGCATAATAATCATGGTAAAGAAGAACACAGATTCCTACTGAATCTTTACAGGTCTTTCCAAATCAAGTTCATTTGGGCTAACAGGATCGTTCGCTTTCTCTCTCCCCAATACAATTATCTGGATCCTAGAGTTTCAATACGGGAAGCTTTTTTAATACAATGCACAGATATTAACAAAAACTCAAGTCAGAATGTAAGCGCAATTTTCGAGTTAATGTCACAAAACTGCCGGTTAGAGCGCAGTTTGCCCTTTCCTAGTGTCCTAGTGTTTTATCCCCTCCAGTCCTACTGGAACATGGCGCCCTACACCTTCCCTGGCAAGGAAAGAGGGGAGTCGCTGACCCTCATCTGGAGGGCGCCAAGTTGGCGAAGGCTCGGCTGATAAAATCAAACAAGCTTCCAGGCCGCCCTGCCGCCGCCGCCGCCCACCATGTCTGCAAACGCCGCCGCGAAAAGCCATGCATGTGTCTGCGTGGACGGAGCCAAGCCGGCGGCCAGGCTTGCAGCCTCTCTTGAGGGTCCGCTTCCTCTTTCTGCGCTCCGCTTAGCCCAGGGGTCAGAGGCCGCAAGCGGATCTTGGCTGTGCCTCGGCTCCGAAATGCCCCTCTCCAGCCTCCCTGGTGAAAGCTAAGGCCGGGAGGTGGGTGCGGAGTGTTTACACAAAGCGAGGGCGCCTCCGCCTCTCCTTTCAGACGCCAACGCACCCAGGGAAAACCCTGCGCCAGCGGTTCAACGGTTGTCCCAGCTGATCCCTCGGCCGCTTGAATCCTTACCCCGATCCGCCCTTGGCACAGGAAAGCGGTAGGCGACAGCGGTAGCCTGGGGTGGCGTGCGCACGCAAGGCGCTCTCTCGCTGCCGCTTGAGCACGCGTGCGCGCGACCCTCGGCTCTCCCCCCCCCCGCCTTTCCTAGGCAAAAGGCAAAGAAGAGCCTCGCTTCGAGGAAAGTGGGTGGAAGTCGTGACCATTGTGGCTGAAAAAGAAGGGCTGAATTGCTCCTATGTTTTTGAAAGCGAGCAAGAAGCGGAGATATTGGGTATGTCTAGTTTAATGAAAAGAAGGGCTAGGGGATGACATGATAGCAGTGTTCCAATATCTAAGGGGCTGCCACAAAGAAGAGGGAGTCAAGCTATTATGCTTGAGCAGTGGGGTTGGACTAGATGACCTACAAGGTATCTTACAACTCGGTTATTCTATTTGCAGTCTTCTACTCTCTAAAGCACCTGAAAACAGGACAAGAAGCAATGAATGGAACACTAATCAGGAAGAGGTCCAACCTAGAAATAAGGAGAAATTTCCTGACAGAACAATTAAATCAGGGAAATCACTTGCCTTCAGACGTTTTGGGTGCTCCAACACTGGAAGCTTTTAAGAAGAGATTGGACAATCACTTGTCTGAAATGGTATAGGATTTCCTGCTTGAGCAGGGGCTGGACTGGAAGATCTCCAAGATCCCTTCCATCTCTATTATTCTGTTATATTCCACTTTTCAGTGGGGGACCTGGCAAATGATCCTGGCCGAAGTGTTACCTTCGGAGGAAGAACAGAAAAGAATAACAGAGTTGGAAGAAACCTTGGAGGTCTTCTAATCCAATCTCCTATATCATTATAAAGCGGTACTAACACTTCATGCGATCTAGATTCTATCCTTCTGTTAATGCAGCCTAGAATTGAATTGGTTTTTTTGGTGGCTGCAGCACCCTGCTGGCTCATATTTAAGTGATTGTTCACTAGGTCTCCAAGATCCCTCTCACAATTATTGCTATTAAGCCAAGTTTCATGTAATCTGTACTATACATTTGCTTTTTCTTGCCTAAGTGTAAAACCTTACTTTTCTTTACACTGAATTTCATTTTGTTAGATAGGATCCAGTAGTCAGGTCTGTTGAGATCCATTTGGATCTTAAGCCTATCTTCTGGTGTGTTGGCTATTCCTGCCAGCGTGGTGTCTGCAAATCTAATGAGTTCCCCTTCTATTCCCTCATCTAAATCATTTATGAAAATATTGAAGACTGCCGGGCTTAAAACAGAACCTTGGGGTACTCACTGCTTACTTCTCTCCATATAGTTTCATTAAGGACCATATGTTGAGTGCGGTTTGAAAGCTCACAGGACAGAAGGCCAAGGCCCCAATGTCCACACTGAGCAAGAGAGCTCCCCTACCCCACCCCCAAACTTTTGGCTTATGGCATTTCAAAGGAAGTGAAGTAACACAATTCCCATCTGAAGAACTTCTTTGTCTCACTGTAACATTAAAACAGAGGTTAACCTAATGCAATTGCCTGGCTAATTTTGGAAATGCCATGCAGCCTTAAATTTCTGGATAACATCTGTAACCATAGGAAGAGCCAATACAGTAACATTGGCTGTGCTGTTGCGTTTTATTTTTATTTATTTATATCATTCCAACTATGGTTGGAAGCTGATCAAAGAGAGAAGCAACCTGGAATTAAGGAGAAACTTCCTGACAGTGAGGATAATCAACCAGTGGAACAGCTTACCCCCAGAAAGCCTGGGTGCTCCATCGGTGGAAGTTTTTAAAAAGAGACTGGACAGTCACCTGTCGTGAGATGGTATAGGTCAGGGGTAGGCAACCTTGGCTCTTTTATGACTTGTGGATTTCAACTCCCAGAATTCCTGAGCCAGCCATGCTGAGGGGAAAGGGAGAGGTTTCCAAGCTGAGCCATGCTGGCTCAGGAATTCTGAGAGTTGAAGTCCACGAGTCATAAAAGAGCCAAGGTTGCCTACCCCTGGTATAGATCCTCCTGCTTGAGCTGGACTAGAAGACCTCCAAGATCCCTTCCAGCTCTATTCGAATTCTTTATTATTTTTACAAATAAGGTGAACATATCCAACACACTTTCCTCCTCCTAATTTCTCCACAACAAACTCTGAAGTGAGATGGGCTGAGAGAGTGACTAGCCCAAACTCACTCAATTGGCTTTCATGGCTAAGGCGGGACTAGAACTCAGTTAGTCTCCTAGTTTCTAGCCTGGTGCTGTAACCACTAGACATGCACAGTTCAATCTGAAGCTCTTGGAATTGTTGGACAAGGAAAGGCAATTATTCAGTGGCCAGAAACCTCACTTAACTTGGGGTAGGCGAGACTGAATATAGTGGGAAATGTACTGTGATACCCATTTGAGCCAAACCAAGAAGTTTGGAGGAATTCTTCCTTGGTTTCAGAGGGAAGTCTTTTCAGCCTATTTTAGTCATTATAATTTCCAAATGTACTGAGCCTTGTGACACAAGTAATATTTCTTCATCATAATGTTTGGGGTTTTGGATATTGCAAGAAAGGTGTTCAGCTCTAATGCATCATCTTGTTTAAAGAGAAACTTATTTTTCAATTATATGTTTAACCAAAAGAGTGAACTCCCTCTTGGCAGTGAAGAAATAGGTACTACAGACAAACAAAACACACACAAGTAGCTTAAAATTTAAGCATTACAATATTGAACAATGGGGTGAAGCAAAGGAATTGATTTGGACTCAGATTATACTTTGGCACATGATCCAGGGAAGACTGGCTTCTGCAATTAAGAAATTTGAGAGGAAATGTCTTTGACTTTGAAGAGCTCCTGGCAAAGAACATTAAAACAAACTACAAAAACCTTTCAAGTAATTTAGAATAGGTAACTGATTAAAAACATCTTCTAATCTGAGGCTGGGGTTTTAACAGAATGCTACATTAGAAGGATAAGGAAACAGCAGAGAGAACTGATTTGAATTCTACACTTCTGTTTTCATTATTAAAGATTTAGGATAGATCTTTGCTAAACCTGAGTTTTTGGGTGGAGAATCAGATAAAACTGATAGGGGATGAAATCAGAGGTAACAAAAGATTAAAAATTATAAGCTAAGTTAATCAGCCAAAAATAAATAAATCTCCCAGTTCAGATAGTATTGCCTATTTTCTAGAAAAAGATGTATTTTTTTATTTTGAGATTTGTTCCTGAAAAATAGCCAATTTGATTCCAATATTCAAAAAGGAATTGGGATAATAAATATTCTTGTTAGAATAATATTTGCTCTAAGGAACTACTGTAATGGAAAATATTAACGAATAGCAAAATCATAGCCTTCTTGAAAAAGAGCCACTATGGTTTTCATAAATGTATATCTCACTAGATTTTTTTTTAACAGGTAGGTAAGGTTTTTTAACACATAGACAACTCAAGAACTGTTGTGTTTTCAAAAAGGTGAGATCCTTTACCATCACCCTGAGTTTGGTGAGTTCCTTCATCAAAAGCTCCTGAGCAAAGTTAGTGGTCAAGAGTAAGAGGACAGATACATCATGGAGGCAGAAATGAGGTCCTATAAGCATGTCAGCAAATATATACATTTAAAATCATGCAATATAGGTAAAAAGGAGATATGTAACTTTTTCGTCCTCCCTCAGAATGTTAGCATTTTAGGTAATAGAAACTCAATGCAGTGAGACTCAAGGCAAAGCTTGAAAATGCATTCATTTAACAACTCCGCAACACAAAATGCTGGATTATATGAGCCTACGACTTGATCCAGCAAAGCTCTTATGTTTTTATTGCTTGGCCTATATCACTTCAAGCTGGAAGGGCCTGCAACATATTTAAGCTGCTGATGGGACATCAAATTTTAGATTACAATATTCTCTTTGAAGAAAATTAAGAGGACAAAATAATCTCAAGTATTTTGAAAATGAGAATATCTTATAAAAAGGGTTTCACATGTCTTCCTGAAAAAACTGATTTTATCACTTGAGTCTGATGACTGCAGAAATGGATTTCAAAGGGGGAATGGCTAATTTATGTCTATTACAGAGGAAGGAGACTTGTTTTGATATTCAGATAATATAACCAAAGCGTGCACATTGCATTCAGGCAGCACTGTTGGAAACAATGGAGTAGAGGTAGATTAGGTTCTTCCAAACATGTTTTTTTTATCATTTATTTTCCTCCAGTTGAAACAATTGGAAAGGTGAACCAGACTACAGTAACTGCATTTTAGTCTAATATATTGTTTAAAAACATCCCATAAATTAAGTATGTTATATGAACCCAGAAAATTGTGATAATTTAATACATATTGGACTAAGAAAGGGATGAGAACCAGGACAATACGGGAAATAATTTTATGCACACCCTGGTTCAACCAGTACATTCACCCAACTCTCCTGTTTGTTTCAAACCTGCATTGGGCAACATTAATAGCAAAATATCACACATTATTAGTGAGACCCACTTTCAGAGAGTTCTATGCCTAAGATTGGGCCAAATATTTTTTGTAAACAGTTTTGCATATAGAATTATATCAGACCAGTTTTGTTCACATAGTGATTGTGGGGATAAAATCAGATGAAACTATTATGTATGCTGGCTATTATGTATGACTTATATGGAAAGTAAAACATTATATGCAATAATTATTTGTGTTATTCATACTTTTAAAGGTTCCCATTAGTTACTATTCTTGCAGGGGATCGAGAAAAAAACCTAAAAGCAACATCTTTGAGTGCCAGAATATACATTTATTAAAGAAAGGGAGAGAATGGGAGAGGCTCCTGAGCATTTTCAGTCTGAAAGAGATAAATTCTGGATCGATATGCCTAGTTCAGCTACTCTAAAGTGTAAAGTTTGACTTATACTGTTAAACTTCGTTAAACACGATTAATACTGTACCATTCTATGTGAGCCCAAGCAACTGAGATTTATTAAGCGAGTCGTTCAAGGTGCAGACCCAGTAATATTTTCGTATAACTCAAAAATATGGTTTTTAGTAAATGGAGGAATTAGTTAAATACCGTGGGAAACGTCACTTTGCTCTAACTA